GTCAGTTTCACCTCTTCAAATCTTACTCCTCCATGAGAAAGCAGTGCCAAAGCTGATCAGATATCAGTGTCAAACTTACACCACAAGGTGCTTTTCATAAAAACAACAGGCCAGCCTTTGAAATGAGGAATGGAAAAATACCTGAAAAATCAATCACAGCTAAATGTACTACTGGTTGCTGTCTTCCAGAAATAAAAGAAACAGCTTGGCAAAGAAACAACCGGTTTTTGACTTTTGTTTTGGATGGTGTGTGTCAGTTGAAGCCAGATGATGTAACACAACAGCAACGCTGGCCTGTCTCGGATGTTAAGTGAAAGACATTGCAACTTTCACACTAAATGATTAAAAGAGGAATATTATGGTCCTCATGATCATTTTTCCTATTTGGAATAGAATCATGTTCTCGCTCTGGTTGGTTGCACAAATATTGACAAAATGTTCTTCAACTGGCTCAGGTCCAGTCAATTTAGCTGTGGACAGCTGTCAGAGCTTAAATCAGTGTATAAAAACATTTACCAACAAACAAAACCTATTACAATGACTTCATTCAAGTGCACCAGATAGAGTAGGCACGACTCCAAAATAGCAGTAAGGATCGGATTTAGCTCAATTATGGAGCAGTGCCTGTGGCGGAGGTTTAAAACACTAACCACACGCAAACAGAAAGAGTAAACACAAGCAGGCTCCTCAAGAGCCTCAGGACAGGCCTCAGGGGTTGGAGGAGCTCTCGTCTCTCGGTTTTCTCAATCAGCTTTCAGAAAAACAACTCAAAATCTCTAAGCACATGTTGTTAAAAATCGGTGTGACCTGCTAAGAAAGCTGGTATCTGAAAGACACAAACTTTTTAATTGCACATAAAGGACTTAATTATACAAGGTTCGAATTTGGAGCGAGATTAATCACTTGAGGCACAGAGGCGCAAACCACTGTCCCATGAGATATAAGAGAGACCCGTGACTCTGGGTCAAGATGTGAGAGTGTGATGAAGTAATTACTCTTAGTCAGGCCCTGTAGGACAAAGAGTGACAGTCGCTAACAGGATGATATCAAGTGTTTGGTTACATCTCCAGAGGGTTGAGAGAGCAGCCAGTCATGAGTAGAGACACAATCCTCTCAGCTCTTCCTGTCTGTGTATACTGCAAAACAACAAGAGCGGGTTCTCCCAACCTAATACCATGGGTGATGGTTTAAGTAAGGGAAGAACACAATGTAGCGATCAAAGAGACAGAATGACGTACTGAGTCAGAGAGCAAGATAAGCAATGATGAATAAAGATATTCAGTCTATGCTTTATTTAATACTTTGTACATTTGTTTGACGTGTTGCATGACACTCCACAGACTGTGTGCACAGCACACAGCCCTCATTTGGGTTGACTGGATGAATTTCATGGTTGCAACATTCTCAGAAATAACAAACGGCAATGCAGAGACAACACTAACTGAACCAGCAAGAAACAGTAGTGAGTAGCTTGCTGAATTTATGTAGCCAGGTAAATGTACAATTTCACGTTCGCTGGTCATTGGTCATATGAAAGAGGTGGACACATTTATAATGTATTAAAACCAGTGACGAACATGTTAAGAAATTCTTTCTTTTTGTGCGGTGCAAAAAATTATAAACCTACACTGTAAAATAAGACTAAATTTAATGGTAAAAGACAAAATGCTACAGAAAAAAACCTGTAAAAATGGTTAACAGCAAGCTCCCCTACGATATACGGCGAAAAACTGTATTCGACATTACATGTAATTTAACGGTAGTAAACCGTTTTTGGAAGTGAAAAAAAAATTAAAATGTGATGTTTTTTTGTTGAAATAACTATGTTTCTTCTTCACTTTTGTACATTAGGGTTGTATGTTACATCTAATGTTGTTAAATTAATGTTTATTGCATTATTTCAGTTTCATGTGTGTTACCATGATAGTGTTTAATGTTTGTGTGAATGAAACTGTGCACCTTCTATATTTGTTAATATTTAAAAGCTGCTTATAATGGGCTTTGGTTCATCATGTGGCATTCTCATCACCACCTGCTTTTGGTGGTTATCAGTTTATTACAAAAGGTACAAAACAAATTTTAGTACTTCAATAGGTTGGAATATTAACATTATATCAGTGTGACGAGAGGGGCGGGGCCGAGAGCCGTGGGAACGGAGCGAGGCCGGGGGAGGAAATGCTAATGCGCGGCTCACCGGTCTCGAGTCCCATGGAGGAGCTCCAAAAGGATAAAAGGAGGAGTGACGACAGTGTTGGACGAGAGAGGACCAGGCCTGGACATTATTTAGTGTTTTTGTTCTGTTTGTGCACAACAGTCGTCCGCGAGGGGCTGTCGCGCTATTTTGTGTTTATTTTATTATTAAAGTTTTCTTTGAACGTTTGCCGGTTCCCGCCTCCTCCTTCCTGACCTACGAACGTTGGTACATTGGTGCCGAAACCCAGGAGGAAGGAGGGATACACTGCAAGAGATCCTTCGCCGCTGTGGTGAATCCGCGGTGCCATTGAGCATGGCGTAGCAGTCTGCTGCCGTGGACGCTTGAGGCGGTGGGCTGGAGTGAGTTGCTGGGGGGGCGGTCGAACTCGCTGCCGGCCGCCTGGGATGTGGAGGGACTGCTGCCATCCATAAGGGAGCGGAGGAGTCGCCGTCGTGAGCCTGCTGCCATCCGCCATGATGGGGAGGAGCAGGGAACGGGGGACTCCTGCCGGCTGCCCGAACCCGGAGGAGCCGTCGCCGGCCACCAGGTGGCGGAGGAGTGTCGGGCCGTCCACCGAGGGCTATCCAGTGGCACCGCCAGGCATCGTGGAAGAGTTTTCCCAGCAGCAAGCTCCCCTACGATATACGGCGAAAAACTGTATTCGACATTACATGTAATTTAACGGTAGTATACCGTTTTTGGAAGTGAAAAAAAAATTAAAATGTGATGTTTTTTTGTTGAAATAACTATGTTTCTTCTTCAGTTTTGTACATTAGGGTTGTATGTTACATCTAATGTTGTTAAATTAATGTTTATTGCATTATTTCAGTTTCATGTGTGTTACCATGATAGTGTTTAATGTTTGTGTGAATGAAACTGTGCACCTTCTATATTTGTTAATATTTAAAAGCTGCTTATAATGGGCTTTGGTTCATCATGTGGCATTCTCATCACCACCTGCTTTTGGTGGTTATCAGTTTATTACAAAAGGTACAAAACAAATTTTAGTACTTCAATAGGTTGGAATATTAACATTATATCAGTGTGACGAGAGGGGCGGGGCCGAGAGACCTACGAACATTGGCCACAGATGCCGTATTTTAGCATAAATTTTGTGTTTTTAAAAAAAAAATTTTTTACAGTGTAGATATATATTTTTGGGTAAATAGTCAAAGTTCAGAATACTGTTTGGAGATTTTTATTCTTTGTACAGAAGGTAGTGGTCAAACTCTCATGTCTTTCTAAAGAGGTTACAAAAGGCAATTTCACTAAAAAGCTTGGTGCTTTACTATGCCTCAAATGTACCAACTCAGCTACTTTGACCCACCTTCTTTTGAATTTGTCCAACAGGACCAAAATGCAATGTTAGAAAAAATCAGAAGTGCACAACCATGCAAACACCGTCTTAAAGAAGCAATGAACACTTCCACGAGTGCCTCAATGACATCACTTGCACATAGACCCTTGCATAAACCAGGTTTTAGTGAGAATGTGGAAAGAGGGCAATGTGGGCCTCTGAAACAAAACAAAAAAAGGTGTATGAAAAAAAAAAAGCTCCATCACACCCTGCTTCAGGGTGTTTTTGGAACTTGAGTTCCCGCCTCCTCCTTCCTGACCTACGAACGTTGGTACATTGGTGCCGAAACCCGGGAGGAAGGAGGGATACACTGCAAGAGATCCTTCGCCGCTGTGGTGAATCTGCGGTGCCATTGAGCATGGCGTAGCAGTCTGCTGCCGTGGACGCTTGAGGCGGTGGGCTGGAGTGAGTTGCTGGGGGGGCGGTCGAACTCGCTGCCGGCCGCCTGGGATGTGGAGGGCCTGCTGCCATCCGCCATGATGGGGAGGAGCAGGGAACGGGGGACTCCTGCCGGCTGCCCGAACGCGGAGGAGCCGGCTGCCCGAACGCGGAGGAGCCGTCGCCGTCCACTGAGGGCTATCCAGTGCCGCCGCCAGGCATCGCGGAAGAGCTTACCCAGCTGGTGGAGGGCCGAGCGGCAGTGTGTCTGGGAACCAACACCGCTTTGCAGTCCTACTATGAACGGAAAAAAAGGAACGTATTGCTCTCATTAAAGGTGCAAGTTTCTGTTTATTCAGTAATTGGGCTTTTACCAGGTCTTGTAGTTTCTAAAAGTTCCTTTGTGGTGGTGGCATTCAAAATCCAACTGAGGAATGTAGGTATGAGCTCAAGATTTCTATAGTCTGCTAGCAAAAGAGACCAGAATAAAGACAAATGGTCGTTTTGAAACTGAGTGAGAGCTGGGATATAATGAACTACTTCCATTGTCTTGGGTCAGTTTGCTGAGGTCTTGAAATATCGTGACTCGAATGCAAACCAATTGCGCCCGTCTTCACTCTTGCTCAGCCATGATAGTCTTCAAACAGCCAGAATTCATGTTTAACCAATTGATAATAGAGTAACATTTTCATTATTCTATAATAGAGGTCATCACTAATAATTTCATTCTATTTTACTGACTGCCAACATGTTTATGTACTATTTCCAGCATAATTACTTTGTCTTAAGGGACACTGTCGGAAAAAAAAGGGGGACAGTCAAGTAAATGTTACAATTACTTGGTTAAAAATAATATATGGTAACAAGCCAAAAAACTAGAATGTGTAAAATGCAATCCTGTTCTTTAACATGTACTCTTTTTGTTGCACATTAAGACCACATGTAAAAATGTAATCTGCAATATTGTTAACATTACAATTTTAAATAATGTGAAATCAGTCACAATGCAAGATTGTTGTGATTATGTAAAATCTAAAACACAGGCCAGTTGAAATTATAATTCAAAAATACTAGGGATGCACCGAAATAAATTCTTGGCCGAAGCCGAACAAAATTAAACACGGGGCCGAAGGCCAAATACGGAAAACGTTTTTTTTTTAAAGTTTTTTCCCCCATGTATTTTGCCAAAAAAAATTCACCATTACATAAATTAAAAAGCGAAAATGTGCTTTTTACTGTTTTGTCTTGCTTTTCAAAGAAAAAAATCAATAACAAACAACAATTAAAAAATATTTAACACTTAACATTTTTTACATTCTAGCCGACACTATACCAACAAAGCACAATTTAACTTAAAATGAATAAGTTAGTAAAATAAAAATTTTTGGCCATCAGACCCCCTTCTTGAATCAGGCATGTATTTTTTATTTAATTTTTTACTGTACAATTAAAAGCAGCCTTGCTGAGAAGAGACTTCTTTTAACAGTAAAATTACAATGCTAACATTTATGAATGTTGATAAGAGTTCTTGCTTTTTCTCAACTTTTATTTTGGCGGAAACGCGCAGGAAGACCTCAATGCTTATTTTTTTGTTGACAACAGATTTATAAATGAATCTCATTATGAATATGTCGTACATATCGCATTGTCACATGACTTGTAAAAATTCATAAAAATGTGACTGAGCAACTGACTGTATCAGCGCAAATTTTCCTCGTGCTTTGGACTTTGAACCCTGGTTGACAAGCAGATCTGCTGTGAATTCGTGCAGCGCTGTCAGAATACATGCAATGCGTGCGTGTATTAAAAAACATAACGTTCTGCAGTTTATTTACTAATTGTTTAAGGCCATTTCGCGATTTCAATCATCATACAGTAACCAGCAACAATCACCCCCCCAAAAATGAAAATTAGGCTGTGTTTTACTCAGCCCAGAGGCATCCTTCTGAAAGTAGTAAGTTATATACACCTAGTATGCCTCGGGGGTGAGTAAAACACAGCCTAATTTTCATTTTTGGGTGAACTAACCCTTTAAAAGTTTTTGAAGGGATAGTTCACCCACAAATAAAAATCCTGTCATTTACTCACCCTCCTGTCATTTCAAGACTTTTGGTCATCTTTGCAACACTAATAAAGCATTCATCATCCATTAGGCAATCAACAATTTCAAGCTTAAAATTAAGACCCCATAAAAGTGACCCATATGTATTAGGGTATATATATATATATATATCTATGGTGTAGACCGCATCACTGATCATAATGAGTTCCATAGTATTTTGTCACGCCGCACCACTCGCGTCTGGCGTAGACATGGTGTAACATTAGTTTTGCTTTGTTTCACAGAACTAATCGTTGCCTGGGTTGTGTACGTATGTGTGGGGCGGAGCTATCAAAATAGGGGCGAGACCCATTTGGGGTAGGGGCGTGTTTATTTTGGTGATTTCAAATGTCAACATTGGCTACCAGAAATAGCTTACCCCACCTTTAAAGGTGAATTAGTAAGTCCTTAAAGGTAAAATTAAAAATTCTCTCCACAAAAAATTAAATGTAATGATTTCGATAGAAGTTTCTTATACTCAGCAATGCTGCATTGCTGAGTATAAGAAAAAACTGTAATACAGAGAAATATAAAAAATTTAAATTATTTGTCCATTTTAGTATATTTTTAAAACAAATTAACCCTGGCTGTTTTGCTGCTCAAACAAGACTTATGAATTTTGAAAAGTTGTGCTACTTATTTTTGTTGAAACAGTGATGTATTTTTTTTCCCAGGATTCTTCAATCAAAAGAAAGTTCCAAAGAACACTTTTTTAAAATCTGTACAAAATGTTAAAGTTGTACTGTATTTTTTTAATTCAATTTAATACACCCTTGCTGAATTAAAGTATTGAAGAGAGTACCCCATGTGTCCTAATCGATGAACACTGCACACAAGCATGCATCTTAAATCAGTTTGTCTGGAACGCCTGTGTTCACAAATGATGGATGTTCTTTTTCTGAGGAGTTACAATAATCAGAACAGTTTTGCTGAATTAAAGTATTGAAGAGAGTACCCCATGTGTCCTAATCGATGAACACTGCACACAAGCATGCATCTTAAATCAGTTTGTCTGGAACGCCTGTTCACAAATGATGGATGTTCTTTTTCTGAGGAGTTACAATAATCAGAACAGTAGGACATTTTTACAGATTCAAAAAATAAATAAATAAATAAACATGGGTTTCTCCTTATTAAATTTGCACCTGACAGTTTTAAACTCAAATCATCCTCCCCTCTTCCACATACTTCAACTCTGACGAGCTCTAAAACTATTCACTCCCACCGTATCACCTCAAAAACCCAAATTCCGCTTGGCAGTTCTGAAAACATTCCAAACAGAATGACTACTTCTGTCAGGAGATGACTGACAGGTCAAAGAACAAGGTTCTCTGCTGTGTTTACTGGTTACCTCAACTGCTTATACTGAGCTGGAAGTTTAACGGCCTAAGAACAGTGATATAAAAATAGCCTTTTTGAACCAGACTGATGTGGGATTGTTTATTGAAAAACCAGTGGCAAAGAGACCCAGCATTCTCTTGATGCTAGCGTATCTCAACTTACCCATAATGTATATGTGCTGCATCTCTAGAGGATTCTTCACACCAGCACTCAAATTTACGGGATTAGGATGCTCAAGGTCTGTTTACACATTCAAGCCTGTTTGTGCGTGACTAAGAGCGTGTGTGTGTGCGCGTGTACTTCCTGTTTACTCTGTCAAAGCTAATATCTGAGCGGAGAATCTGAGACGGTGTTTCTCAGCAGGTTCTGACAGGGGGAATGACCCTAGAGATGCAGAGCTTTCAGCAACACACCGGTAATAAAACTGGTGGAAGGGTGTTTATTCATCAAACGGGGTTAGGCTTTGGTGTGCTTTATCAAGCGATGGGGGCTTGTTTTATGTTAGAAAACCACCATTGCGAGACACAGGAACTAACAGAAAATGACAGCAGGATGAAGAAAAGGCCTAGATGAGCTCATTCTTTCTGTCGCTCTTTCTGTTAGTTTTATCAGCGCTCTTATCCTCCTCAGACAAGTGCACTTCATTCCAAAAAGTGTGCACCAGATAAATATCAGGTCACTGTCGGTGACACCATGGCATCGAAAGTGGAGAGATGAGATATTGCATCCACAGCCTCCACAAAGACGGTTGTTCTGAATATTGAATAGATGAAAGTGTATAATTCATCACTAGGGCTGGGTATCGTTCAAAAATGTTCGATATCGGTTCCTGAACGATACTTTTTTCCAATACCAATTTTATGAAATCAATTTTAACAAGATTACTTTATCTTAAAAAAAAAAAAAAAAACTTTGGTTTTATTTTTCAGCTTGTTGATGTTTATACAAACTGAAAGACTCATCTCCTGAGCCACTGCACAAAGGAACAAAATATAACCAACACAATAAATCAGTGCAAATAGTTTTAATAAAGCTCAAATAGTCTTCAGTTTACACATCTGTTAGGCTACATTTACACTAGTGCGTGTTCATTTTAAAACGCATTGCTCAGACTTCAGAATCATGATTTCTATTAATTTTCCACTGATTTACTAATGAGCATTAGCAGCTTCCAGCGCTGTCTGCCTGTGCTCTCTCTTCCATGATCGCTGCTCTGACTCCGAGGTAATAACAAATTTAATTTCAGCAACATCACATGGCCAAAACACACATTAGACGGCAATCGGAAGTTATTACAAACACTCGATGGTGGTTTAAAATTAGTTTTGAGTAAAAGCAGTATATAAATCTTATTTATTGTCTTATGTAGCATGATGCTACAGTGTGCATGAATGGTCACGTAAAACACGCTTTCGGTCGTGTAGTATGAACGGACTTCTGCATATGATCGGAGCTCCACGCAGCTCCTGCGCTACTCTCCATTGGAAATGAATGACTTCCGGTCTGTCGCTTGTCATTTGTCAGCGATAGTGGAAAGCCGGCTTGAAACGCAGTGGAAATGCCAGTATGACGAGGATCGTTTTCATTTTAAAACAAAAACGCACCAGTGTAAATGTAGCCTTACATCTAAGGGGGCTGGGACGCATTTACACTACAGCCTCACGTGTGCGCCACATCTCTGAGTGTAACCGGTGTTAACTAGTAGGTGTGTTTGAGTTGACGCAGACCGACTGCGCAGACCGATCGGTGTATTACAGTACCACGAGAGCTATAGAGAGCAGAGTGCTCCGTACGCTTTCGAATCGCTCTCGCAGATGTCAAACACTGATCGATCTGCGCCGCGCCTCTTCTAGTCGAACACACCGGCTAGTGCTGCAGGCTTATTGGCTCACTGACGCTGACAAGATTAACCCCTTAGGTATTGAAATTTGGTACCGAACGATGAGATGTTTTTCGATACCCGATGGTATCGAGGCAATTCGGTCGGTGCCTAAAAAGTATCGAACTCGATACCCAGCCCTATTTATCACCTTTACGGCCCTCGCAAACCGACATCAGGGCGGCCTCATGAGTAACACATGTACACACATGAAAAGAGATACATGAGATGGGCTGCACAGCTGGTTGGAAAGCAGACGGGACTCTGGGTAGCCTCAGGACAACTCTCTTGCTCTACAGAGGTTTGAGTCCATCAGACACACAGCGGGAGTTGCAGCAGACACCTGACCCCGTGCCAGACGCTCAATACAAACAGACCTGCGGACATCCTCAGGATGGCATTCCCCAAATGTGTCCATAAGCATGAATGAGAGTTTTTTACTGAATGAATGAGAGTAATTACGCTGAAATTAGGTTGAAATGATCCTACTTTTTCTTTCCCAACCCTTAAAAGCCACTCTTTGCTTCTTGATCATTTTAGAATATATAGGTAACAGGTTGAAATCATTAATAGTAAAGCATTACTATCATTAACTAACAGAGAATAATCTTTCAATTGCCGTATTTAAATTTTTACACATACTAATACATTCAAATATTTAAAGTGTAAAAAAATTTTTTTAGGTTGTATAAAAATTAACAAGAATTAATGTAGTATATTTATAACAAACTTTATATTCATAATAAATATTGTAAAAACATTCATTTGTTAGTTCATAATACCTAATACATTAATGTTAACAAATCTGAACCCTACTGTAGTATTACCAGAATATCTAACATAA